TTCGGGCGTGTTATGTGAGTTGAGTTATGTCATAAAAACTGGTTACATGTCCGTGTACAAATAGTAAACAAAGAAGAAAAAGAAACACAAAGCGAGGAGAACTAGAAAGCGTAACAGAGACGAAGAAGACGAAGCAGAGGTAGAGAGAGAGAGAGAAAGTTTTATGTCAAAATCCGATGATAAAATGGAGAAGCCACTAGCATCATCATCAACCATGGAAGAAGCAGCATCATCAAAACAAACCTCCAAAACAAACGCTTCCATGGAAACGCAATCTAGTAACACCACCACAAGCGGTAGGAAAGGACGCAAACGCAACCGCAAAATCTGTATCTGCGTCACTCTCCTAATCATCCTCACCTTCTTCATAATCCCCCTAATCGTATCCCTCACTCTCTTCAAACCAAAACGCCCAATCACAACCGTCGATTCCGTCACCGTCGAGCGTTTCCGAGCTTCCATCAACGCGTTAGCTTTCAAAGTCGACTTAAACCTAACGCTACACGTAGATCTCTCCTTGAAAAACCCTAATCGAGTCGGATTCAGCTACGGTTCATCGTCGGTTCTGTTGAATTACAGAGGTCAATTGATCGGTGAAGCTCCTTTACCGGCGAATCGAATCGCGCCGCAGAAAACGCAGTTTATGAATCTAACGCTTACGTTAATGGCGGATCGGTTACTGTCCGAATCGGAGCTTTTGTCTGACGTTATGGCTGGTGTTATACCTCTCAATACCTTCGTTAAGGTCTCTGGTAAAGTAAGCATTCTCAAAATCTTTAAGATTAAAGTCCAATCGTCTTCTTCGTGTGATCTTACGATCTCTGTTTCGAATCGTAACGTTACTAGTCAAAAGTGCAAGTATTCTACTAAGCTTTGATCTTCTTTCATTACAAATGAATCGGATCTATCTACACTTGTCTTGTTTTTTTTTTTTTTAATGGGTTTTTGTGTTCAAATCTTTTACTATCTGTGTATGTATTATCAAAAAGGATTTGCTTTTTTAATGTTACAAATCTGTTTCAGATCTCTCAAATTTTGATTAAGCAAAAAGCAGTAAAACGTTAAGTCAATGTGTCAACGTAACAGGTGGCTAAAATTTTCAACTTTTTATTAAATTTGTGATAAGAAAAAGTCAGCTTAAAAAGGAAATCAAATCAGATTCTAATTACTGTCATAAAATGTAGGCAGATTGTAAGGAATTAGTTGGCAGCTTCAATTGCATTTAAAGC